TGTTGGAGGAAGAGGAGGGGAGAAGGATGTTGGAGGAGGAGGAGAAGAATGCAGGAGTGTGGGAGGAGATGGCCCCGTACGGTCTGGGAAGGATGGCTTGTTAAAGTGTGTGTGTGTGTGTGTGTGTGTGTGTGTGTGTGTGTGTGTGTGTGTGTGTGTGTGTGTGTGTGCCCAAAGCTCGGCCTGGCTTCTACTATTACCATGGTAACCCTGGTGTGACTGTGTACGAGAACGACCAAGTTAAAACTTTATATTCACCCAATCAGCCAATCAGTAAAACCAATTAAAACCTCTAATCAACCAATCACAACAAAGAATAAATGATACAAATACAGCCATAAGTGATGAAAAGGATAAAATGGGAATAAATACGTGTTTGGGAATTTTTCGTAATTTTAAAAAGAAATTAAATGTTACGGTATTAATAGGTTATTAAAAATGTCCCTCAGAGATTTTTTTTTTAAATATATATGGGATTTTTTTTTTGTGTAATGAATTTTTTTGAGGTAGTTTAGGTCTTGGTGAAGGAACCCGTTGATGTTTATGATGTGTTCTCATGAAGGAAACACATAATATTTGATGTTCTGTAATAGATGTTTTTTTTAGGTGTATTATTGTGTTTTGCTCTCTCTCTCTCTCTCTCTCTCTCTCTCTCTCTCTCTCTCTCTCTCTCTCTCTCTCTCTCTCTCTCTCTCTCTCTCTCTCTCTCTCTCATTTTCACTGCATGTAGTCTCTTCCTCAGTACATGTACTCTGTCCCTAACCACACGTACTCTCTTCCTCAGGACTCAGCCGACGAATACGAGGCAGAGGCCGCGAGGGTGACGGCGGCCAGTACCTACCTCATAGAACAGCTGGAGCCGCCCCCCCAGTACGCCTCCAGACCTCCACCCCACATCCTCCCCCCACCGCCCTCACACAACGACCTCAACATGGATGATGCGTACGACGACGTGAGACGGAACCAATACAACGCCGCCTTAGGTAAGTTTATGGGATGAAAGGATACGGAGAAAATAGGTAATAGGTAGTAAGAAAATTTTAACTAGCGATGACGTGAGACGGAGATAATCTAACGTCGTGGTAGTTAGGTCGCGCTGGAGTGTGTCGTAGGTTGCCTGGGGGACCGAGTGACGTATATGAGTGGTATGTTTAGACACTGTAGGTAAAGTAACTATGTCGACGTACGACAACTTGCGATGACGTACGATACATCTAGTATAACATTGATCTATATAAATTTAGGGTGTTGTTAGGCTGCTTGGATGAGTATGTGGTGAAGAGACTTGCCTGGGGATTATATCAAGAGACGACTGGTGAGTATTAGTGTACGACGGCGTGTGAGGGAACAGTAGTCAGAGGTGGATGGGGCAGCTGAAGAAGAGGTTAGGAGTACATGGTTGGGTAGAGAGGGATTATGTATGTATGTTACCCTATTTTTTTTACCATTTGTGTTTTAATATGTGTACAACTAGGCCATATTATATGAGGTTTTGTTTACAACTTTATCTATAATTGTGTATCTGTCCTGTTTAGGTTATATTTATTATTGATCAACTCCTATTATCTCTGTATTTGTTTTCCTATTTTTCTGATGTTTATTTACTGGGTGTCAGCTGGGAGCCTCATCCACACACCCAACACTCAACTTACATTATATTTCCCCTTCTCGTCCACAGATCGCGCGGCGGCAGGTTACGGCACGCTCGGTCGACGCAACACCACACCTGACCACTACAACATCACCGCCGCCGACGACCACTACCCCCTCTCTACCCGCTACAACACCTACCAGCCGCCGACACACGGTCCCTCACTCACCGCCCACACCCATACCCACACCCACACCCAAAACAACGGGTCACTACGAAGGAACCCGCCCTCAAAACTCCACTTCCCCAAGGACTATATCCGCAATGGTTCCATGAACATACCCGTGTCCTCATCAGCGGGTATGGGCGTCGTGGGAGGACAGTACAGCAACAAGCCGCAGTCACCCACCCGCGCTCACCCGCCCCCACACCCGCCCATGCTATCCACCTTCGCCCCAGACGCTAGCCAGCCCTCACCACCCATGGCGGGAATTCCACTAGAGCACCGAGGGCATCTGGTGTGAGAGGTTAAGACTCCTCTGATAATGTAAAGAACACTTTTTTCCATCAGCCGGGAGTTGTGTAAGAGAGAGTGATCAAACTGGGTGCCGAGGGTGGCCACTTACTGGGCCATCACAGGTGAGGGTGTGATGTGTCACTCGTCCCTCGCCTACTCCACGCCCAGGTACGATGAACGATACCTGTTGACTCTACCTGTGATGTTACCCTGTGCCGTTTGTTACCTGTGGCGTTCATTAACCTGCTGGCGTTCGTTGCCCAAAACGTTCGTTACCTGTTGACGATCGTTTACCAGTGACGTCCGTTAGTTGTTGACACTCGTTATATGTGACGACAACAGGATGAGCACGTCGGCTGGATAAGAAGCCAGCCGGGAGTACATCGACGACCCCGGCTAAAATAAGAGCCTATTCAGTATTAGGTTGAAAAGGAACACAAACTGTAAAGATTATAGGTGTCCTTTTTTGTAAATGAATCCCCCCTAAAGGGCCTGAATGAGCCAGCTAACGATGTATACGTTGATGGCAATTAAGTGCTAAAGTGGAGTGGTTTAGCTGAAAGCGCATTAATCACCTGGAAATCGATTAACTTTGGTGCGCCTGATTTTGAGTGAGTGGTGGACGAGGCAATGTGACGGTGAGCGGAAGACAGTGGAAAATATTTAAGCAGATAAAAAGACTGCGGTGTATCAGTGTCTGGTGTTGACTGTATGGTATATCTCGTTAGTCAGAACTTACCTGAGACCCGGAAATTTGTCCATAAGAACGAGTTTTACCAGGATGTGGACAACAGCACAAAAAATCCTGATCCATAGTGTCAGGAAGACTGATCTGTTGACACACCTGTCCAGCTGTAGACTGGAAGGAAGGTTGTTGTTGCAAAGATCACCTGCTGAATGCTGCAGAGGTCAGCTGTTACTACTTCTTGTTGCAGAGATCACCTCTTGTTACATATTATTATAGACATTGAAGCTACTTATCGTAAAGTGTTAACCTCGCTGGGGCTGATGAAGGCTGGGAAGGAGGACGAGTTTACCGAAGCAACGAACCTCAATATCCTCACTTTTTTTGACTAGTTAAGTGAAAAGAAAAGTGAGTTTTATTGGGCTAGCGGACGAGGGAGAAAGTATCGCTTTCTCTCATGCACTGTTTCCTTCTTTCTCAACAAGGAAGAAGAAGCACTAAAGGCACATATCAGAAACTTACTTCTCACTCGCTCCTCAGTGAGGGAGGCGGGGAGGTGTGTGTGAGGGGGCGCAGTGTGGTGAATCACGCAGTGATGCTCAAAAATGTGATGTAAGATAAACTTAAACTTAGGCACTTTAAGGGGAGACTTTAGCAAGCAGGAGCCACTCATCTTGTGAGTGACCTGCTCTTCATCCCAGCAGAGGTCAGAGGTCAACCCTCACATGACCTCTGCTTCAACAACTCTCCCTCACTTCCTAGATAATATAATCATTCCCATCAGACATAAACCAAGAAGTTGACCATGACTACAGCGTCGCTCACTTCCTGACAGCTCGTGTGACATGGCCATACACGTGCCGTGTGAGTGTTGTATGACACATACCCGAATGCTAGTGTGCGTGTGTGTATTTGTGTGGTAATGACACAGGCCAGGAGTGTGTCATGCCGTGTCACACGACAATCATGTGATAACAGGAACTCTACGGGACTTGAATGACATTTCCACCCCTGAAGGGCATAAGACTTGGAGATCCAGGCGGACACGGAAGTGCCTTGTAGTGGTCCTGGCGCTGGTTCCTGAGGCAACAGTATAAGGAATCTTTCCTGGATTATGTCCCAGGATGTTTCTCTTTTATCTCTTCGTCGCTGCTAAAAACATGACTCGGCCTGGACCTTCTCGTAGTGAGGATGTTGGTCCAGTCAGCTACGTCGCCGTGAGTCTCTCTGGATACAGTTCATCCTTAACATAAACAAGAAAAGAAGTTTTTTGAATGATAATCTCAGTTTATTTTGACTCTGAACCCCTTTTCAATTTTAATGGAGATGAAGGAATGTAAGTTAGAGCTATTGAATGTTCTATACAGGATGACCTGTTGTGCTGAAGACAAGTCCAACACCACCATCCTCGGCTCCTCCCTGGAGTGACCTGACTCTAGTGAGGGAGTCAAGATTTTTGCAATGTCACCCATTCCTTTTATTGAATTTTCTCTCATCATTCTAGTGTCCTTTTGTAGCTTTTCTATACATTTTGACAGAAGAAATTTTGCAATACATAAAAGGCATTTCTAGTTTCTCAAACGTATAAATGAAGCCACATTATGTTATTGGTGATGAATCTATTGCTGTTTGGTCTTCAGTTCTAACATTCTGTTTGGGTATGTGATAATTATTTTTCAACGTGAGTTCGTGAGAGACAAAAAAGAATTACCAGCTGGTCGTGTCTGTTATTGTAGTCAAACGTTGACGTCATTTGCAATTCAAATTTTGTGGCCAAATTTTGTACATGTCCAGTTCAGGTGAGTGTTGTTAGTCTGTTCTATGTTATTGATATACACTTGTACACACACACACACACACACACACACACACACACACACACGCACACACCTCACCAGAGCCCTCCTCATCTGACTTTTATCCTCTAAATTTAAACAGCTGTTGTAAGCCACTCATTGATATATTTATGGCCGACAATACTTGGACTCAAAGTTACAATAATATTCTCCTTTGACGTCACTGCCAAACGGACAAAGTTGGCGTCAACAATGGCTAGAATAAGAGTCACTGAACAACTCTTGTGTGACCTCGGGAATGTGTAAATAGTGTTTCTGTCATTATTATTTTCTGTATATACCTACCGTGCCAAAGGAAAATTTGAAAACCATTGCTGTGATGCCAGATGTAAGTGGTCATAAATAATTAACTTATGGATGGTCAATAATTATGATTTCTCCTTGTGATGTTTTTCTCAAAATCTAATAACAAACTTTTCGTAATAAATCTTGAATACTGTCGTCTCTAACAACGATGATCATGGTTTACTTTCCTTCATGCTATCTTCTTATTTTATCAACCTCAGCCTGGACTCTCTCTCTCTCTCTCTCTCTCTCTCTCTCTCTCTCTCTCTCTCTCTCTCTCTCTCTCTCTCCTTAAGGTAAATCAAAGTCATCCAAAAGGTCTTATTTGCCACATGTTTTCATCACAGCCTTGGAAAAACTGCCGCTAGTAGCTACCATGATCCGAAGAGCTGACACCTTTCCCTAGAAATATACCAACAGGATTATATTTTACCACCTGAGCATTATAATAGTATAGGAAGGTCAGCCAGGGATCACGGAGTAACTGGCCTCTCCTTCATCTCACTTCAGACACGCCTCCTCATCCTTGTTTAAGTTGGATGTATCACTTAACCTCTCTGTGTTGTGAGGAGATGACACGACAAAGGTTGCAGTGTCCTCCTCCGAAAGCATCAAGTTGTTATATAGTTCATTATAGATGTTCTTTTTTTTTCATAATAGGATTGTATTAATCATGAGGAGTAGGACGCTGGTAGGATGTGGACCCAACACCCCTTTGTCTTGTCGTATACTCACAACACGAGAGGAACTTGAGGATACACTCTCAACACTCACTGACAACAGGGTCTCCTTCACAAAGTTTCTAGTATTTAAGTTGTATATTTTTGTGTACTCTACCCCGATGTAAAAGGTGCTATGTTGTGTATTAAGTGAATAATTCCCAGCGGTCAACACCATCCTGAGATTGGCGGCTGTAGTCACGTGTGTTGCCCCAGTGTTGTGAGATGAAGACACAGTGACAAACAACAAGCGTCCATACAGTGAAGTGTCAGAAAGCTGTATGTCGCTCACAGCAGAGGACCACAAAACTCGGTATGAACCATTGTTGACGGGGTAGAGGTCTTGAGTTACGTCTTGTTCCTTCATCACAACACGTAAGGGAACTCACGTGAGCTTACGGGGAAAGGTCTTTAACATTATCCAGTGGTTTGAGGTTACGACACAACAATGTGATTCAGTGTATTAAAAAAGAAATAAAAATTATACCGTCTGTCTCTGAAATAGTCCAAGACGTTAAGGAATACTGATCAGTGAAGTTGTTTTGTCCTGAGCTCAAAACACTTCAAGTTTCTTTTAAATATGGATAATGATGATACGTGAGGTGTTGACCACTGAAGCTGAGGATTGTGTCTGTAAGGAGACTGAACATTCAGTTGAACCTCCACAGCCGAGAAAGTTTAGCTTATAAACAAAGGAACCAGCATGTTAGCCAAATATTATCTGTACTTAATTTCTTATATTTAGTTAAGGTTATAAGTGAGTAAGTGAGAGAGAGAAAGAGAGTGAGAGAGAATCATATAGCTCATACACAACATATACACAGATACACTTTTTTCCTTCTGAATTTCTACTTGGAAAAAAATTATTACTTGAAGAAATGTTAAGTCCACTAAGAGCATTACAGCTCCCTGAACTTTCCTACCTGAACCTTCCTACCTGAACCTTCCTACCTGAACCTTCCTACCTGAACCTCTCTACCTGAACCTTCCTACCTAAACCTTCCTACCTAAACCTTCCTACCTGAACCTTCCTACCTGAACCTTCCTACCTGAACCTTCCTAGCACCTACTGTCAACCAATACCTTAAGAAAAATGATAAAGAAAAAATAATCATAAGTTTCTTCTCCAAATCAACATCTAGTTTAGTGTTTATCTAGTCAGCTCACACACGAAGTAATTCTGTTTTTTTGCCAAAGACTCTTATCTTTAATTATCTCTCCTCCTCCTCCTCCTCCTCCTCCTCCTCCTCTTCTCTTCTACATCCCAGGACTAGCGTGACCAGGAGTGGCTCGAAGTAGTAAAAAAAAAATTCTTGCTTCACTTTATATTTTGTCATTTTCATTTTCATTTATTTTTTTTACGTGGATCAATAGGGATTATTTGGAATAGTTTTGTCCTCTTTTTTCCTGTGTATACGTTCTTTTATCACTCATGAAGGAGGATATTGAGTTTCTAGTCTACACACACACACACACACACACACACACACACACACACACAAACACACACACACTAATGAGTACAATAAAGACAAAACGACCTCAAAACTAATGGGTTCTGAGTTCTTGCCTCTCAAACACATCTCACTAACAAGAATGTCATTTTTATCGTCATCTTAGAAACAACTCATTTAGTGGATTCTGTTTGGGTTTTTTCCCCTCGTCTTACATGACCAATTAAAAGGAAATTTGTTATATATACACTAAAATGTATATAATATTTTTACTCAACTTATTTTAGTGACTGAATTTGTTGTGTTCAGAAATATGTTATGTGTTTGTGTACAGTACAGGGTGTATGTAGTGTATGTGTGTTTGTTTGTTTTTTTGTTTTTTCACATTGTATCAGTTATCATAATTTCTATCATACTGTTTTATCAAGATTATTCCATACCTTGTTTCATCATCTTGTTTTTGTTTATTTTTTTGTAAATTATTATACAAGATGATTTTTTTTGGCTTGATAATTCTTGTTTGATTATTTTTGTTTCTTTAGGAATTATGAGAGATGAATTATGTCCTGTTGATGCAGGGATTAAGGTAACAATTATCCAGGTGTTGTGATCTCTATTCTTGTGTTTACAAGCATTGAAGACCCTTACCTGTACCAAGACAAATTACCTGTACTGTACTAGATTACTTTCACCCTTTACAAAACACTGGTCTCACCTGTCAATCTATTGTTTATTTAGTGTTGATGTTTACTTTTGTTTTCTATCTACCTCTTCTTCTTTTAAGCATTTATTTTTCTTTCATTTTTTTCCCTCCACCAAAAATAAAACGAAAAGGAAGACAAATAATACAAAGAATAATCAAAAACTTCAAAACTCTGATTGTAGTCATAGGATCTCTGCTAGCTAACAAACTTTCCTCACACGTTAAAAACAAATGAAAAACGTAATGTTACAGACAAGTGTTATCGATAATACCTCCCCCCCCCCACACACATACATACACACACTTACCAATATCACGTTTCGTCACATAAGGAAGAGCATCAAGCATCGTAGTGACTCAAACAACATCAACAACAACTGCTGTTGACATTGCTTTCGTGTGGGTGAGTGTGTGGGAGGTTCAGTTGTTAACTTTGAAGACCAGGGTTCGTATCTCCCCATCCCTCCTCAATTACACTTAGGATCAGATTGGCTTGGCTGTGTCATGATCTCAGGGCACAGGAATGGTAGTTGTTTGTGTTGTTGTTAGACATTCATGGTATTTTAAGATGTGACGTCATATCTCTGGCGTCGAAAGTTTAGAACACAGATGTTTGTATAGATTCTGTTCCGTAAACTGACGATATAGATAATGTTTATGTGTTCTAAACTTACGACACATATTATTTTTTTCTGTGTTTCAAGCCGTGACAACTGTGTGGTGAGGTGACGGCACACGAAGCATTTTAACCGTGCTGTCAGGTCACCTTTAACACAAGAGGCGACTTACTGTTGGGTATAAATGCCGTCACCACACTGGAGGGATAGAGATGACGTCACCACACTGGAGGGGTAGAGATGACGTCACCACACTGGAGGGGTAGAAATGACGTCACCACACTGGAGGGGTAGAAATGACGTCACCACACTGGAGGGGTAGAAAAGACGTCACCACACTGGAGGGGTAGAAAAGACGTCACCACACTGGAGGGGTAGAAAAGACGTCACCACACTGGAGGGGTAGAGATGACGTCACCACACTGGAGGGGTAGAGATATACGACCAAAAAAAATAGATTATTAAAATATTGTTAGTGTGTTTGTTTGTTTGTTGTTTTTTCATGGGTTCCGTCCGGTCATTATGCTCTTCTACGCAGAGATCTTCACAGCACCTCTCCCACAGTCTCTTGGAGGAGTCTCACCTCTCCCACAGTCTCTTGGAGGAGTCTCACCTCTCCCACAGTCTCTTGGAGGAGTCTCACTTCTCCCACAGTCTCTTGGGGGAGTATCACCTCTCCCACCGATTCTTGAAGAAGAGTAAACCTTTCCGCAATACTGTTGCTCCTCTCTACCTTACTGTCACACCTCTCTGGCCTGCTACTGTTGGATTTTATCTTACACCAAGCAGGTCATCATCCTGGCCTGGCGTGTGTGTGTGTGTGTGTGTGTTGTTGATTAACGCTCCAGCTGAGGTTGTTTGTAAACATCTTATTGCCAGAATCTACTAGCAGGACACATTTACATTTTTCACAAACAGGATTATAAAAGTAAAACAATCACAACATTAGTTCAAGACTTATGGTATTGTTTTTTCCGGGAGACATTGTTTTGTGCACCTTAATCTATCCCCCAAATTAATGCATCTTTGACTCTTCCTTCTTCCGTCTCTCCCTCCCTAATTCCCAGAGCACTGTGGTGAAGACAAGTGAAGTCTGAAGCAAGGTTGACATACACGTATGAACAACAGTAATGTGATGATAAGCACTAATAAAAAGAAATAATTAATAACATCGTAAAAACGATAATTTTGTTATTTTCTCGGTTTTTATCATAATCCAAATTTATTCCCTAAGAAATCATAATACGTAAAAGGTCAACAAATGCTGATGACATCATACTCGGAACACAGTTGGACCCGATATAAAGAGCTGAATTTTACCAGCCACACACTATCGGCCCTGTGGTGCCGCAGGGTAAGGGTCAGGGGCGAGGACCGTACGAAAAATTGTGAACACCAATTTTCTTGATGATGTGAGTGTACCACACGTCAACCTGCCCTGTCTCCGCCACACACAACAGTGCAGCTTTTCTACGTATTGTATGGTGATGTTAGATGTTGCTCCTTGTTGTAAACATCGAACTCTTGGCATTAGAAAAAGGAGGCGAATTTCTGTGTTGTGTTTCAAACTCAT